CTTCTGGATATTCTGAGCTTTCTTGGAGGGTCTATCAAGCAGAGCCCACTGCAGTGCCAATGATATGGGGAGGGAAGGCTGCTGGATGATCCAATGTGCAAGGACAGGACCACGTCGCCCAAGCAGAAGGCATAGGGTTGTCAAGATGCAGATCTGACCCAGGAAGTTCCAAAGAATGGATGTGGGGGTGGAGGACAACCTGGGCTAGTCACTATACTTTCCTCAAGCAGAGGGTGAAGTGTTCCAAGGGGTCCAGTAAGGAGTAGGCTCCAGTTAGTTCCGTTTTTGAGGGGCAGATCTAGTATGGGCATAACAGATCCAGGAAGTTCTAAGGAGAGGTTTGGGGTTTTGAGGTCCCAATTTGGTCAAACACCTCAAGCTGGAGCCCATCAGGGACAAGGATAAGGGGGAGGGCAGGCTGGCTCTAGACGATTTTTTCAGCAGGGTGGGACCACATAGGTCAAGGCGTAGGGGTTAAAGATGAAGAGTTGACCCCAAGGAAGTTTCAAGGAAAGGATGTGTGGGGGTGTGTGGGGGGTGTTCACCTGGGCTAGTCCCAGACTCACATCTCAAGCCCAAGAGAGCAAAGTGGCCCAAAGGTTAGGGGTGAGGGCAGGCCCAGATGGTTCAGAAGGCTATGAAGGGACACTGCTTACACTTCTTTGGTGCTTACTCTTTGGTTTGCTGGGAGCAGTGGCTTATCCTCTGTGCTCTTTACTTCTCTTGCTCCTCAATTGTCTTCTCAAAGATTTCTTCTCTTATATATTCTTTTCCATCCAGCCCCCCCTACCTTTCTCCTGCCTTTCTATGGACATTTCCACTCTTTATTAGATATGTCAGCTAAGACCTTTTGCATATAGAAAAAATAACATGCTGCTTCTCAGAGTTAAACAAATGCTCCATAAAAAAAGGCTAAGACATTTGCATCATTAACCAAATAATCCACAGCATAAACAAATGTAACTCAACTTCAACTATATATTCTACAACAAGATATTTCTTCTATACCATCCCAAGAAAGATCCATGAGTCCCCCAATGCCTTCCTATAAGCGCTAAACTCTCTTTTGTTTACAAGTGTAACTTGGTTATCATTTACTTAATTCTTTAATAGCCACATATAAAATAATAGATAGTATATTTTTCTTTCTGTGTTACCCAACTTAGGATGAGGTTTTTCCCATTTGGTCTGCAAATTTCATGATGTCATTTTTTAAACAGCAGCAATACTTGATTTTTGTAAATGCATCAAGCATTTTCTCTTTATCATTTTTCTGTTGGAGCAGCAGATCCGGGCTACTTAAAATTTCTATCTCATATGAATAGAATACCAGTGAATATGGTTGAGACATGGCTGTGGAAGAGTGAAGCAAACTTTGGATATAAGGACCAACAGTTGTCATATCTAGTTTTGGGTAGACTGATTCCCATCCTTCTGAGGAACTTCCATATTTATTTCCATAGTGTCTGTTCAAGTTTGAACTCCTTCCGCAGTGGATGAGTATTTTCTTGATCCATGTCCTTGCCAGCCTTAGCTGTCACTTGTAGTATAGATCTTGGACATTCTCACAGATATGAGATAGAAACTCAAAGTAGTTTTAATGTGTATTTATGGAAAGGCCAAGAATGTTGTACCGTCTTTGCATGCTTTTCAGCTATTTAGTTTTGTCTAGTTAGCTGTTTAGATCTGGACAACATTCTTTTAAGTTTGATTGTATGGTTTGTTGATATATTTTCTTGAGTTCATTATATCTTTTAGTTGTTATTGTCTATGGGATCTGTAGTTGGTAAATATTTCCCCATTTTTTAGGCTGCTCTTTTGGCTAAATGACAGTGTCCTTTGGCTTTCAGAGGATTTTCAGTTTGATGAGGCCCCATTCTTAACTTTTGGATCTTAGTGCCTGTGCTATCAGTGTGCTTTTCACTGAAAGTCTCTCCTGTGCCAATGCATTCAGGGCAATTACCCACTTTATCTTCTATCGGGTTCAGTGTAGTCTGGATTTAGTGGAGGTCACATGATCCATTTGGAGCTGAGTTTTATTCAGTGTGATAAGTGCAGATTTGTTTGCATTCTTCTACCTACCTACATCCAGTTAGAGCAGCACCATTGGTTGGAAGATGCTTTCTGTTTACAACACTGATTTCTAATTTCTTTATTAAAAAATTCAAGATATTCATAGGTATGATGGTTTTTATGGTAATACCATGCAGCCTTTTTATTATTATTACTATTGCTTTGTAGTTGAAATTTAAAATAGGAATGATGACCTTTGTATTGTGCCAGATTTTGTATTGGGTTTCTTTGAAGTTTCTTTCCATATAAGTTGATGTTGGGTATTTTGTTGTAATTGTCTTATTATATTCGAGTATGTCCCTTTAACATACCAATACCTTCATGAATATTATCAAGTGTTCAGTTTGACACCAATGAGTTATTATGAGTTTGTCCTCTCTGGATCTGTTTATAGAGCAGATTACATTTATTGATTTTTGTATAGTGAACCATCCTGCATCTCTAAGGTATAGCTTATTTGATCTTGGGTGAAGAAAATTTTGATGTGTTCTTGGATTCATTTTTGCAAGTATTTTATTTAGTGTATTTAAATCTTTGTTCATAATGGATAATGGTCTGTAATTTTCTCTGTGGTGGGTCTGTATGCTGGTTTTACTATCTGGGCAACTCTGGACACATATAATTGAAATGCACAAAATTCAGTGTTCATTCTGTGTTTACTTTGTGGAATAATTTGAGAAGTGATGGTATTAACTCTTTTTGAAAGTCTGTCAGAATTCTACACTTCTTGCTTTATGCCCCTGGGCTTTTATTTGTTGTGATACCATTAATAACTCCTATGGTTTTGGAGACTGTCATGGAACGAGCTCTCATAGACCCAGGCTGATTTTGAACTAACATAGATCTGCCTGCCTCTGCCTCCCTATTGCTGGGATTAAAGGCATGTGTCATCACTGCCCCTGGCCAACTGCTTCTATTTTTACTAGGGTTATAAGTCTCTTTAAATTGCTCATCTGATTCTGATTTAAATTTAGTGATTCTGATTTATATTTAGTAAGTTCTATTCTAATGACCACATTATTCATTTCTTTTACCCTTTCCTATTTTGGTGGAATACAGATTTTTAAATTATGTCCTTATGACTTTCTGAATTTCTTCAGTGTATGTTGTTATAACTCACTTTCAATTTATAGCTTTTATTAATGTGGGTATTCTTTACTGCCCTTTTGTTAATTTGGATAAGAGTTTGTCAATCACATTTACTTTTATCAGAGGCCTGAACTCCTGGTCTCATCGATTCTTTGTATTTTTCTCTTTCTCTCTATTTCATTGATTTCCATCTCCTGGTTGGGTGAATTTCAAGCTATTCACCCTTACTTAAAGTGTGATTCCTTCTTTTATCTCTAAAACTTTCACAAGTACTATTAAGTTGCTAGTTTGAGGATCTCTTCGTTGTTTTAAATATAGGATTTAGTGCTATGAACTTGCCTCTTTTTGTACTGTTTTCATTTTGCCCCTGAGTTTGGGTGCTTTGATGTATTCATTTTCATTCCATTCTACATTCTAGAAAGTCTTTAATGTTTGCATTTATTTCTATTTTGACCATTTTCATTCAGTAAAGGTTTTGTTCAAACTTCCATGAGGTTTAAGCTTTCTGTTGTTTCTGCTCTCCTGAAATCTGGAGTTAAATCTGTGGTTGTTGGATAGGATTCAGGGAGTTATATTTCAGTTTTTCATTGTATCTTTGGAGCCTTCTTCTATGTTTGGGGATGTGGTCAATTTTGTGGAAAATTCCATGAGGGTATGTTGTAGAAGTTATATTCCCTTGCCTTGGGTTAACTATTCTCCTTAATATCTGTTAGGTCTATTTGGTTTGTAACATTAGTTCCAGAATTTTCTATGTCTATTTTCTGTATGGCAATCTGTCTATTGATGAGATAATGGGATACTTGAAGGTCTCTCACTAAACATGTGTGAGGGCCAATATGTGTTTAGCTAACCCGTAGTTTCTGTTACAAAGCTGGTTTGCCCCTCAGAGGCAGAGGTGTTAAATATTGAAACGTATTCTTGATTGATGTTTCTTTGATGTCTATATGCATCTCTTCTCTATATCTTATGAAATTGATTTGAAGCCTATTTTGTTAGACATTAAATTTCTACACCAGTTTGTTTCTCAAGTCCATTTGCTTTGAACATCTTTTTCTAACTCTTTACCATAGGTAATATCTATTCTTGATATTGACTTTTAAAGAGAGCATGTTGCATGTCTTTTGATAAAAATAAGTTAGGCAACTGGCTACAGAAATATGGAAAACAAATAAGACAGATTTTATTACTGATGATCCTCAGGTTTAGGAAGGTAGGGATAAAGAATTACCATATCCATAGTTCTTGTTATGTTCTAATTCACTGATGATTCACACTTGTATGGCAATGCTCTTGTGCAATTACCAGTAAATACCCAACCTGTGCTTTTGTTGAGGATTTGTGTTTGTATGTCTTTTCCAAGGAGACTGCTATTGCCATCCCATCTGCTATATTCAGTGGTATAAAAGGTCTGTACACATAATGTATGCAATACAGCCTCACCTATAAGAAGGCATTGGTTCAGTAAAAATCTATTTAAATAAAGGACAAAAGGAAACACTGGAGTCAGTTATTTAGATGAGATTGTTCTAAAAATCTCATTTTCCAGAAGTATTTTCAACACTACAAAAGATTATTTTAAAAGATGCAATGATCTATTAGTGTAGATTGACTCTACCTGAGGTTATGCAAACTAATAGTCATTCCCATCCATAAACCTATCTATACTTATAAATTTATCCTGGATCCCAAGTTTTCCCCATATTTCAGCTTTGTTTGTGGTAAATAATTTTCTCTTCATAATGAGAGAATAAAATAGAGCCATTACACTAAAGGATATACCCTATTCATCAGTTTCTAGTTGTTAAGAAGTTATTGTCAAATGTGCTTTAGCTTGTAGAATGAAAGTTTTAATGGAAAATGAAGCTCTCACGCTGACAGTGGCAGTATGGTGAATGATTTTCTTCTTTAATGTCGCACTTCACTAGACACACTTGACACAACAGTAAATCATGCTTAAAACAGCAGCCTATACTTTAATGACAGCACACAATACTGCAGAGGTGAATAGTAAGTGTTGGTTGTATTCAATTCCCTTTCAGCATGCTCTCACAGATGCCCGATGGACACTTCTCAAAGTACACTTGTTGTTTTATAGATTGGAACGTGGGATCCAGCCAGTGGCCTGAATATGACCGAAAGTCAGAAAGGAAAGCCAGCAAACATCACAGACTCCTTGTCTAATCGTTCATTGATTGTTACCACCATTTTGGTAAGTGATTGTTTTCCAATTATTTTAGAAAAATGTAGATGTCATGGATATAGATAGAAAAAGACAATGTAATGGGAATACTAATGACCATATTCTAATGTGTCTTATAGTCAGTTAGCAATTACTATAAAATATAAAATTCAATTCAGTACATATTTTTGTTACTCTTCAGTGATATATAAAACATATGAATGTTTGAGTTATCTTTATTGATGAACAGCTTTTGTGAATTCCCATTGAAAATCTTTACATTTTCAGGGAATTTGCTACTATTGATGAATTGCTAACATACACATATGCAAAACAACATAGACATGTAGATGGATATAGATAAATGAAGAGCCAAACAAACTCTTTCTTTCACTGAATATGTATTTCACATTATTGCAATTCTTTTTTCAATATTTTTTCTATAGTCATACTTATAATCTTGTTTTCAATTTTATTGTGTCCAGCTGGACTAATAGCTCTCATTTTACTAATTTCCTTCATGAAACAGAATGGAAAATGCTTTTTAGAAGCCAGACCATTTTCACTGCCATCATAATTAAATCAATGCTAATATGTTTTATATTTTACCAGTGTCATAATTACATGTTTTAATTAGCTTGCCAGTAATGATCACTTATGCCATTTGCAAAGGATAATCTTATTTTTAGTATAAGTATTATATTACCCCTTAGTCAGTATTTCCTACTATCAAGAGAGTTTACCTAATACCCTTTCTATGTCACCCTTGATCAGAGGAAAACAAATTTAGAACCTCAGAAATCCCCTGTAAATACATTGCAGTCATACTCACTAAATTTGTGTACAGTGATAAATCAGGCCCAGGAGGAAATGGTACATTTTTTTTATCTTAGTAGCAAAAATGGTTGTCAAAACTGGAGGCATGTCAAAAAAAAAATTTATGCTCTTGATAATGAAGCAATGTTGGAAACAATGACAAAAAGGCCTTGGGATCGTGAGGGTTTTTCTTATTTCATTAGTTAAGTACTTGAGACCCTTCTATGTCATATCTAAAACCTTTAATGGTCTCTGAAACTTAATATTAGGTCTCTCCTGTGTTTTCTCATCTTTTACCATACATCATGCTGGAACAAATCTTTATTCAAAACTTCCACTACAGTCAGTAACACACCTGACTTCTATGTCCTTCAAACCATTTGTCTTTGATGTCATAACTTTCTATTCAGACAGTTTCAGTAGACATGCACTTATTTCTTCTTTTGATAGCCATCATATACCCCTGTGCTTTTTAGTGTAACAATGTAATACTGTATTTTTCCTGACTTCCTGCTACACATAATTTTAAATATTCCACAGTGGTCTGCAAAACATACATATAGTTCATCCTTGATTTTGAAGACTTTGTGGCTTAACTGTTTCCACTCATTGTCTTCATTTCCTCACCAGGAAGTCTGTGTCCCGACTGAACTGGAATATAGAGATAACCCTTCTATTGTGTTTGATTAAGCCTGATTCTCTTTTCTTGGCAAATGGTCTTTCCGATTGATACATCATTACCCTTTTCACTTACATACAATTCACAATTAACACCTATACTCTTTTGTTTTATATGCACATCATCTTCTAAAACATTGACGAACTGAACTTGACTGGGTCTCTCTTCTATATAACATGTATTCCACAAGTCACACAGAGTAAAGATTATGCCTGAAACATTGGTAGCCTGTAATCTGAGCTTTTCTATTTCCTTCCAATCATATAAAGGATGCTCTCCCTTTATAACCACAAATGTTTACTCAGTTATTTATTTACTCTTTACACTTCACACATATCAATTCATCATTTTAGCCTCATCTCTGAAGTGTTCATCATGTAATCACTCTTCATAGTTAGGTGTGTGCTGTGTTGAGAAGCTGTGTACTTTTTACTCACAATATTCTGTCATCACATTTACCATGCATTAAAAGGGATTTTTAATTTGTGCATAACTCTATCTTCTTACAATGTCAACATTCAAACTTCATATTCCTTTGATTTCTTACTGTCAGAGTTATGTGTTTTCATTATAAAAATTAATAAATATTTATCAATATTCATAAAAAACAAAGTAATTAATAGCACATAATGTTAATTAATTACTTAGGACTATTTACTTGTTACTTAATACTTTAAAAAGGAATTTATATATTTTCTCAATCATAAGCAATTTGCATTTACTAATACGCAAGTACCATTTGATTATAGTTGTTGTTTGTTTGTTTTGTGGTACTAGGTTGTGAGCTCTGCTTAGGGCATATCCAAGAAAAACATAGTTTGTTTTAACACATGGTCTTGCTAAGTGTCAAAGCTAGCCTTGATCAACTGTTATAGCCCAGACTGCTTTGGCTTTGTGTTCTGCTCAGCCTCCCCTACAGTTGGGATGATAGACTTGAACTACCACGGCGAGGTTATTGAGACTTATATGAGAGCTATAAAGAATAAGGATAATACCATTACAACTCTCAAAGCAAACCTGAAACATTTGAAGTACGGTTTCTTTGCTTCAGGCTTGGTTGTTTCTATGTATAAGAGTTTCAATGATAGTGGTGATTTCCAGTGACACTTGACAACTACAACTTAGTTCAACATTCCTAATAACTAATGTGATTATCAATCACATGATGCTTAGATTTTATAAATATACTATTTACATTTTAGAGTATTTCAATATGCTAGCTTTTAAAAGATTCTAAATGGTACATCATCTTATCTATGTACCCTCAAATTGTTTGTTGTTGTCATTTGTTTTTGTTTATATTGAGGTTCTTTTTTTTTACTTAATACTCTGGTCATCAAGACCACATAACAAAAATAGAATAAATTCAAAGGGTGTTTATAATGCTTATGCTGAGCCTTTACAATATCTTGCCGTAGTTAGTAGATGTGACATCTGGATAGGACTAATAGTTGTTTCCCACCCTTGGCAGCTTGTGTAGTATTTCTGACACCCTGGAATTAGACAGAAATAAAGAGGGTTTTAGGGTAGATCCAGATCTCATATTCCAGGTCTGTGTTCTCAGTGTACAGTGGCTTCAAAAATAGGGACTTCAAATTCCGAGATGGTAATGGCAATAGTCTATTGTTTTAGGGGTTGCTTGTACTGCAAACCATTTGAAAAGAACTTTCTTATGCCTTGGGCTGGAATTTTGTTAGTCTGTGGCTTTTGTATATTAGTCAATCCAAGTGACTTAATCTCTTTTAAGCATATATGTACATACATATGCACACACAAGTATGCATAAATACACTTAAATATATTGTGTGTAATTTTACAAATATAAAATAATATGATTATATAAGGTTTTATTCCTACAATTTTGATGTTATCTGTTCTGTGATGATATAATTTTTAAATTGTTTTCTTTAATATGTTTTTTTTTTATTTTTCATATCAATCTCAGTTCTGTCTTCCTCCCATCCTCCCATTCCTGTCTCAGACGCCCCCCATCCAATCCACTATTCACTCCTTAGGGAGGGTGAGGCCTGCCATGAGGGATCATCAAAATCTATCAAGTTATTTGGGCTAATGTGTAGGCCCTCCCCTGTGTCTCTAGGCTAAGGGATTATCCCTTCATGGGGAATAGTCATAGATCCGATAGACTTCCCAGATCCTCTAACCAAGACTCTCATTTTGGTGGTCTGGTTTGTTCCTATGTTATATTCCAAGATTCACACTGGGATCCATGAGCTTCTGCTTGTTCAGGTCAGCTGTTTCTGTGGGTTTCTCCAGCCTGTTCTTGACCACTTTGCTCATCACTTCTCCTTCTCTGCAAATGGATTCCAGGAGATAAGCTCTGTGTTTAGCCATGAGTGTCTGCTGGTTTCCATAAGCAACTGAGTGAAGTTTCTAGCATGGCATATAAGGTAGTCGTCATTCTCATTATCAAGAAATTGCCTTTAACGTAGGCCTCTCCACAACTTTTTAGATTGTTAGTTGGGGTCACTCTTGTGGGTTTCTGGGCATTTCCCTAGTGCCAGATTTCTGTTTAAACCTGTAATGGCCCCTCTGTTATAGAATCTCTTTTCTTGTTCTCCTCTGTTCTTCCCCAGACTCAATTTACCCCTCTCTCACATTATCCTCTCCTTTCCTCTCCTCTTCTCTTTCTCCATAACTCCCCTTATCCTCCTCCCTGCTCCCAAATTCTTTCAGGAGACCTCGTCCCTTTCCCCTTCTGTGGAGGAACATGTATATCTCTCTTAGGGTCCTCTTTTTTTTTTTTTTTCTCCCAGCTTTTCTGGCACTGTGGAATGTAGGCTAGTGATCCTTTGCTCTGTCTGAAATCCATATATGAGTGAATACATACCATGTTCATCTGTTTGTGCCTGGGGTAATGTCATTCAAGAGGATCTCTTCTAATTCCATCCATTTGCCATTGAATTTCAAGATTCCATTGTTTTATTTCTCTGAGTAGTATTCCATCGTGTAAATGTACCACATTTTATCCATCCATTCTTCAGCTGAGGGTGTTGCTTGCAGTTTCTGGCTATTACAAATAATGCTGCTATGAACATAGTGGAACAGATATCTTTGTTTCATGAATGTGCATCTTTTGGGTATATTCCTGTGATTTGAATTGTTGGATCTTTTGGTACAATGACTTGATTTTCACTGAGGAACTGATTCACTGAACTCCAAAGTGGCTGTATAATTTTTCATTCCCACCATCAGTGGAGGAGTGTTCCCCTTACTCCATATCCTCTTCAGCATAAACTTTCATTGGTGTTTCTTATTTTAGACATTCAACAGCAGTAGGGTGGTAATAGTAGGAAGAGTTGTTTTGATTTGTATTTCCCCTGATGGCTAAGGATGTTGAGCACTTTCTTAAGTGTTTTTCAGCCATTTTAGAGTCCTCTATTGAGAACTTTCTTATTTATTTTTGTACCCCACTTTTTAATAGGATTATTTGGTGTTTAGATGACTAGTTTCTGGAGTTCTTTTGTATATTTGAGATCAGCCCTCTGTCAGATGTGGGGTTGGTGAAGATCCTTTC